GATAATCCCAACACCCCCATTACTTGGGCAAAAATTAAAAACAAAACCAAAAACCTTACAGCGCTAAATCTTAGTGAGTATAAAAACAAAGACACTCAAATGCAGCTGGTTAAATGCAAATTGGCATATTCAGTTTGAGAAACAGTTTGGTTCAGTACTGTTGGGTATAAATCCCTAAAACAGCTGTCAAACTCATTGATCTCAGGAACTCCCTTTACATACACACATCAAAATAACTGAGGACCCACGAAGAACTTTTTTGTTTATATAAGTTGTATCTTATTGGTAGTTACTCTTATTTAAACATAAGAACACATGAGCGTACATTCTTTTCTTTTTTTAAGATGTGACTTTTAAAAAGTTTCTTTCTTTCGTAAGAATTATAGAGAAAGAGAGAAAGAAACACCCTCAACAGGGTCTCAGGCCATGATCCACCCCCAGCCTTCCCAGGCAACCAAGATCATGGATGCGCATGCCCAATGCACAGCACAAATTCTATCAGCTGTCAGAGCAATAACACCACCACATGCCACACAGCCTCTAGCAGATGTCCGTTTGTGCTTGTGAGAGACTGACAGTAAAAAAGGAAAACGATTTTTTGCATTATGAAAGTAGGTTTGACTACTCTCAAACTCCTTGAAATAGTCTCAAGGAACCCCCAAGTTCATGGACCAACTTGGAGAGCCGCTGCCCTCCATTCCTGCACATGTGCACCAGACAAGTATAAGAATGTTCACAGCAGCACTGTACACAGTAAGAAAACTTGCAAAGAACCCCAAATCCATCCATCAGAATATTTGTTTTGTTAACTACTACACGGCCACAGAAAGGAATGAATTACAGTTATATTTGACAATATTGAATAGAAAAATACATATATTTTATTTTTATGTCGAGTTCAAATTGAGTCAAACCTTAATAAAGTATTGGTGAGGAGTATATCATAGGTGGTAAAATGTAATGAAAAGCAAGAGAATGGAAACATAAAATGCAGAAAAAAATAACTGTGTCCTAGATGGCAAGGATGGGGTTACTCAGGAGGCTTCTAAGAAACTGGTAGGATCTAATTCTTTGGTTGAATAATAAGTACATGGATGTTTATTTTAATGATGTTTTATATATCCAGCACATTAAAAAATTTCAAAATTGAAGACTAGAATTCAAAAGACTAGCCTAAAACCAGAAGACTAGAATACATTGCAGGGTGAGAGTAAGTTATTTAACTTAATAGCAATGGAAAAAATCACACAGGAATGGGTAATTTGGGATATATTTAAAAACTGAAAAGGCAAAAGTCATATAAACAAGAAAAATCCATATAAATAATAAAATCCATAGTAATGAAAAGAATGTTTAGTCTACAGATAGATGTAAACACATGGAAAGAAGTTCACACTTACTAGCAATCGAAAGCCAACTGAAACAAAGATCCATCAGTTAAGAGATGAGTAAGGGTGTGGTGAAACTAACTCCTACAGGTTGGTAGGAATGAAGCTGGGTGCAATGTCTGTGGAGGAGGTTGTAGCACATATTATCAAATAACTCAAAAATGTTTACTCTTGAAATCAGTAATTCTATTTGTAGACATAAACCTTAATAATCTGAACTACTGCACAAAAAATTATACTAACAAAATACTGGAAAGAGTCAAAATATCCAAATAGAGACAAAAAGAAATTAGGAGAAGAGCAGAGAGGAAGTAGAAAGCATCCCCAGTGGAGACGGCCATTTGCAATTCCTACTCCTCCATTCTCTCCTCAGGATTTTTGGGCATGTAGAACGTTTCTCAGGTGGCTGGCTGGTCTAGGACTCAAATCACACCATCAGTCACATGGGATCCAGACACTTTAACCATCATGCCACTGGCTGACTCTCTCCTTGTATTTGACTATTACAGAGACTATATTAGAGCACTATTACGTGGTGCCTTAATTTTAATGTTCTCTGTTTTAATGCCTCTACTAGACTGTAGTAGCTCAGGAAGGGGATTTATCTTTTTTTCTACTCTTTCTCTAAAACTTACAGTCTGATTCCTAGAATCAAGCATATAAAGCATATAATGAGTACTTGAGGAATTGAATAAATTATTGCCAAGAGATTAGTCTTTTGTCTTGGGGACAAGGAAAAAGAGTGAACAGGAAATATTTCTCATTAGAGACTTAGCATGGAATTTCTCATAGAAACAATGATGAGAAAAGTACCATAATTATGGACTTAAGTTTTATTCTTTTTTGCCAGCTAAAAAGCTATCCATTCTACAAACACAAAAATATGCTTGGAGTTTCCAAGAAACTATCTCCAAAGAGGTTTTGGAGTACAGTCAGTTATTGAAGTGATATATTTGCAGACAACAAATATTTTCCTTTGCGGGGGGAAAAACATGAATCTGTCTTAAGCCTCATCTCAAACAAAATATTGTTAATGACAATAGAATGGATGTAAGACAGAAGGAAAGTGGCTGTTTTAAATATCTGTGTTAATTTATAAAATGTGAACTTAAAAGAAGAACATAAGCAAATCAATAAAACCTTTTTACTTATTTCCATTTCTATCTTTATCCAAGGCTGTATTTCAGGAAACAATTGAAACTTTAATGTGGGCATCGTTAGCTTAACTTTCAAGGTTTTTATTTTCCCATGCAAGTCTTTAAATTAAATTAATATTTACAACTTTTATGCACATAACCTACACATGTGTTTACATATACCCAAATGTGTCTGTTTAAAAATGAAAGCTTCCCTTAATGTCATGGAATATATACTGGGAACTGTGCTAAGTCTAAGACCCACAGACCTCAGAGCCTTCTATGTTTACTATTTGCTACAGAACCCATATATATTCCACTAGAGTGAATGAACAATAAGCAAATAAACAAGGTAATTACAGGTTACAGGAAGAGCTGTAAAGGAGAAAAACAAGTCAGAGAGGGTATTTAATAATCAGTGAAGGCCTCTCAGACGTATTAAGGTTTAAAGAATAAAAAGACCCAGCCATGCACACACCACCTGGGGAAGAGCTTTCCTGGCAGAGAGAAATGGTAGAAAGGTCTTAAGATGGAAACCGACTAGTTCTGTTTGAAGAACACAAATGAGGCAGGGTGGCTAGTCATGTTTTTCAAACTGTGGGTGATGTTTTAGATCATAGTACCAATTTTGTGGGTCACTACATCTTTTTAAAGTCAAATACGAGAAAAATTGGGTAGTCACATTTTTTGCTGTCGTCTAATTTTTAATCAATTTTACCTTTTTTAAATTGGTAGTCACATTTTCAGACTAAGTCTGAACTTTTGCTTTTGTTATTTAAGTGCACTTGTGTTTACTGGGCTGTCATGAATAATACATTTCTTACTGTGGGCAGTGGTCAAGTCTGTACTAAGCAAGGAGAGGAGGAACAGAGGAGGATGAAGTCATATGCAAGAGCCAGATTACGCATGGCCTTGCATTGTAGCCACCAGAAGGAATTGAGATTTTAACTGAAATGCAGTGGGGAGGCACTGAAGTTTCAAGAGGAGGAGAGACGTGATCTAATTTGACATCATTAAATTGCCTAAAGATTACTATAGTGCAACTGAGAAGATGCGAGTGCTAGCCCTGGCCCAACCACTCACACCAGGGATTTTGAGCCAATCACTTAATCTCTCTAAACCTCTCACTTTTCTTATTTTAAAAATGAGAAGGTTGAACCAAGATAACCTTTACGATCTTATTTATTGCTAAATTTCTGCCTACATTCTGCTTCCTCCCTTAGGCAGAAGTAATGGACTATTTCGGAGTTGCTAGCTCATTAGGTTTAGTTCTGAGTTACTTCTTAAAATATCATAAACCATGTGGCTATAAGAGTTATATTTCTACAGAAAGCAATTTTAGAAGTCTCTCTTTACTGAAACAAGCTATGTTAGTAGACATGAGATCTCTGGGCTCAAAGTCAATCAAGTACTTTTGCAACTTTCTGGTGCAAAGCTTGAGGTGTGAAGAAAATTGGCAAGGAGGGATGAAAAGATTTACCGACTAGGGTTTTTGGAAGATTTCCCTACTTGTTCTAAGTCATCAACTGACATATCATCCAGGACAGTTTAAAGTTGTAGGGACTCTCTGCTGAGTACTCAAGTCACGATGCAGGAGGTAAACTCCTTTCACCGTAACCAAAATGACTGCTGAGAGAAAATACTGAGAGCATAATATATGTTAAGCCTATGCTACACAGTTTGACATATGCTTTTAAATTTAATCCTTCCCACCTTGTTATTCATATTTCCCATGTATGGAAACAGGGACCCAGAATAGACAAGAATACTATTTAGTAGCCAGGTCCAGATTAGACTCAACCTTTAGGTAGGCAACATATAGATCTTTTCTTAATTCCATATTTATAATAAGTTATCTGACATCTTTAATAAATGACTGTACAAGTATTAAATCAACATTTAAGTACCTCAAAACTCAAGTATCTGTAACATCTGGATAGAATGTTGAGCCAGTAAATCAATTCTTCACTCACAGGTACTTTGCTAGGTACAGTGTGAGATGAAATGACAATCAGAGGGCCTTCTCAGCAAGTAGCATGCTGGGCAGTATAAAGTGGAATCAGTCAACATATGTAAGGAATTTGCATACACAATTAAATACATGTCAACAGTATTGGCAGTTTCCAGGTTCCTTTTCTCGAGCGTTGCTGGTAAAAGGCCAGCAAAGGAAGCATGGACTGGATAATGTCACTTGTGCTGTGAGCCTAACAAGTGTCCTGCAAGTTTCATAAATGCGAACGGGTGATAGAAACTCGCCGATTTCCCACTTACATTAACCCTATAAAGGAAGCATGGGATGCAAAACCTGCCCACTTGGAGCAGCCGGTCATGGAGAGGAAAACCTTTGAAACACGCATCATTCTTGTGAGAGTCGAAAGGATCTCTAACACTTCTCACAGAGACAACCACAAACAGCCCAGCAAAGTTGGGGATGGTCACTGCATACCTGCCTCAACCCTGAGAACGCGGTACCCACCTGCCATATACTCTGCTTCGAACCTCCGCCGGATCTCAGAGATGATCTTGGCTTTATTCTGGGCGTGATTCTGGATAGGAGACAAGACCGGACTTTAGACACAACTCACACCACCTGGTGGCCCTCCGCCCAGCCCACCTGCACCCGGGCCTCAGGGGCAGCCTCCAGGTCCAGGGTTCCAACAGCGATGCAGCTGACTCCTCACCTCGGCCATGGTCACGGTTGTGAAAGTAACTGCAGTCGCTGTCGCCGTCGCCCTTCCTACCGCCACCGCCCAAGTATCTCATCACCCGCCGGTCGGGCCGGGAGATAGACAGAGAAGGG